TGTTCAACAGTGTAAACAGAAATACTTCCAGAGAATCTTTAGTGAGTCACGTACTGTGTCCTCATTTTATTTCTAAGTAAATATTTGGCTTATTTAAATAATGCTGTTCTTAAATGTGTACTCCCAATATTTACTCTAGGTCATTAGTTCAAATCATACCAGCATTTGTATTTGTACCCAAGGCAAATCCTTCACTTATTCACAGCTTATATGTTACATTCTATATAGTCATATATTGCACAGAAAGGTGACTTGCAGAAGAAAAAAATATTGACTTGGTTCCCTTTTATTGTTGTTGTTGTTAATTTAGAAGATACAACATCTTTTATGCCTATTTTTTTGAATCTCAGAAATGGCAGGACTGCCCAGATCATCTTTCCTGATTTTACTCAATGACTTCTTAGGGCTTGATCCAATGTCCAGTTGCGTGAATAGGAATCTTTCCAGTGTCTTTATTAAGTTCTGAATCATGCCAGTGAATCTTTAGCAATGACGTTTTCCCCCTTCTCCAAGTGTTGGAATTAAGTAGGTGTCACATTAAAAAACACGTAATTTTTAAATACTCTAAAAAATTATCTTCTGATCTCAGTGCAATCTAGTTTCCCCTTGAAACTGGCTGGCTTTTAGGGTTGAGTCCCAATGCTGGCTGCCCGCCTGTTCAAGGCTAAACCTCTGCATCGTTCTCCTGCCATGCCTTGATGAAAAACAATATGACTGCTGCTTCTAAGGAAGGAGGCTGCCCATTGCTTGCCCTCCTGATGCCAAGGGCCTTAGTACACGTTCCAACCTCTCCTTACACGTGTCCCATGCCTCACAAATGTTTCTTGGCCTAGCACCTGGCCTCCCTTCTGGTGCACACACTGGGCCTTCCATATCTGGCCTAGCACCTAGCCTCCAACCTTGGGCACACACCAGGCCTTCATATATGTGGCCTAGCACCTGGCCTCCAGTTAGGTGGCACACACCGGGGCTTCCATCCTTTATCCAGTATTCTATATTGGCATATCCAGTACTTCTATATTGATGCATCCGGTATTCCTGTAGTCCCATTTCAGTATTTTGCCCCTCACTGGGGCCACTCATTTTACTGCCCTCAACTGGGCCACTTACATTTTGGCCACCTCACTAGGCCACTCTACACACTCAGCCCCTCACTGGGCCTTTTGCCCCCTCACTAGGGCCATACTCAGCCCCACTCTGGGCTGCTTCACTCGCTCAGCCCCTCTGGCCTGCTTGGGGTCTTGTACCCTGTGGGACTCAGGTAGCTTACACTGTGCCTGGACCCACTATACGGGGCTCAGGTGTCCCCCTCTGGGCTTGTCTGACCATGGTCCCTTCCTTTGCTGGTAACCTGGTCATACATAGGGTTTGGGGTTTTCAGGCACCCGTCCTCGCCTTTCACCAGGGAGGTAACTGACCTGGCATTTCCTGGGGGCTCGCTTGCCACAGGAAGTCCCACCAAGCCACCCTTCCCCGGCAGGGTGCAGTTTCAGGTCATACCCAGGACGAGGAACCTCCAAACCATCCCCATATCTCCTGCACTTACCTCCAAGATGTTCTAAGAGCAGCTCAGCCTGATGTTACTTCCTTGCCTGCCCAGCTCAGACTGTTGCTTCTCTCTGAGGGCCTGGGTTAAAATGGAGTCTGCTCCACCCCCTCAGTCAGTCTCGGGGTCCTCCTAGGGTCATGTGCTAGCCTTGATGAGACTAGCACTCACCTGCTGGCTATTCCACTGCCAACTAGAAACTTAAAGTGGCAGGCACTGCAGGTGTCCTGCCACACCCCTGCATATTTCTCCAATATTATTTAACTTCAAGTTTTCCTGTCCTGTCTTCCATAGAATTCCCCATGAAAAAAAATTAAGTAGGAATGAACTAATTTTCTAATATTAAGAGAAAGGTAAAGACGTGTGAATTTTTTTATATCTATCAGAAAGACAGAAGAAAAAAACATGTTAACAGGCCATTTTCCTTAAGAAATCATCATGAATACCAGAGTACATACCATATTTTCTCACATACACCATATCCTGGAATACAATGTACACCTCATGTTTGAAACGCAGAATGAAGGAAAAAAGATTTTTCTTTGTAGTAAGTATCACAGCTACAGCATCCAGGGATTCAAGCCTGTTCATTGTTCTGTTCCCTGTGGATCCTAGCAGATTTTACTTTTGGTTTCACCCACTAAGTGGCAACATTTACTCTTACTGCGTTTCTCACAAATAATGCACACTCTAATTTCCAGCAGCTGGTTTTTGGGGGAAAGGTGCATGTTGTATGCAAGAAAATAAAGTATTTACATACTTCTGTGAGCTTTAAGTTCTAGCAGAATAAAATTAAAAGTTGAACTCTAATATTGTCACACAGACCACACCTTTTATAACTTTAATAAATGGATGCAGTTTCCTAGATTCCCTGATCTGAAATTAGAAACAGTAGAAAACAATGTCAGAGAATAACAGAAATCTGAGTTCTCTTTGCAGAAGAATGAAAAAGTACTAAGCAGCATGTTTGTCCCTAATATATTAATGGTCCAGGCAGAAAGACAGAGAAAAATAATTACCTGAAGCTACTTACCACATTCTGGGCACATCTACACATGTGCCAAACTGCACATCTACATGTGCACCAGACTGCATAGTTGTTACCACACCGGAATGCAAAATTGTTACCTAAGCAAGTACCGAATGACTGGGCAATAACTGGCATTACGAAGCAGTCCTAATTCTAAAGGTTTTTTCCCATGCTAGGGTTTTTTTCCCATGCTACTGCACTGACCCTACCTCACCATAGCAACGAGCTACAGAAGTGTAGCTCATCATTAGGGCGATGTAGCATCTCATGTTGATGTGCTCTCTGTCTGGAAAGCTAAAAGACTTTTACAAATATATGTAATAATCTTTATTATCTCTTATTTTAGAGATGCAGAACTGCGGAAGAAAAGATCAGAGAGAGACATATAATATCACCCAAGAAGTCAGTGGCAGATAGGAGCAGAATCCAGGCTCTTAAAGCCCCTCAGCTGCATTTGTTCAAAGCAGCCCAACTTAACTATACCAGTTTCTATAGCTTGTAAACTTGATGCTCCAAATTTAGTACACTATTTTGAGAGCCAACATCAGCAGGACTACACTTGTCCTATGACCCTACTCTCCAAACACACTGTAATAATGAAAGAATATGCAAAGTAATGCAAGGTACTTTCTCTTACCAACATCTTCCTTTAGACACACAGCTCCCATTGTATAATTTTTGCAATACATCATTAATGGAAAGAGTCATTCTAATTGATTCAGAAAAGAACAGACATTCTGCATATTAGGAGATCAAATACCAGCTTATTTATATTATCTTTTAACACTTATCAGATGTTCCTTCACACATACTGAGTCCTGTGGGTTTAGTGTACTTCAGTGAAAAACTGTCAGTATTTGTGCTCTCCACTGTTAACGTATATTCTTATTACAATATCTCACTGTTACTAAACTATTATTGTGGAATTATAAAATAATATCTGAATTCTTAAGGAATTTCCTTGTTAGATGCTCAGTAATCAGAGAAAATATTCAAAGAAAAGTTTACCTGAGAATTTTTAGTGTTTATGAAAGGTGAGAGACTGAGGGCAGCAGGGACTGAAGTTTTGTGTTTATCTTCAGACCAGCTAAAATGAGGCAATGGCAATATAAGCTTGCCTACACTGATTTTGTAATTTCCCTACACTGATTTGCTAATGTTCCTCCAGCTTGACCTAGAGGAACAATTACTTATTGTCAATGGATATTTTGGTCTGGATCCCATTCAGTTTTTAGTGTCTGACTGCTGGCATGGAAACCCCTTGCTAGGATTGCTGCGAACACCTGTTCCACAGAAGTTGGATTAAGCTCACAAATCCATGGACCAAGCTACCATGAAGTAGTGCACCATGTGAGGCACCAGGGATTGCTGTAACACCCCCTTGTGGTTGCCTCAACCCTGCCTGGCTCTTGCCCTCACCTCCTAGGGTCCCACTCTGGTCCCTTGTCTCCTACATCTTGTTGTAAAATTGGATGAAGGGAGGCGCCCTCAGAGGCTGGTGAGCCTAGGTGCTCTCTTTCTTCCTCATGGTTCACTCCCACTGCACTCTATGAGCCATAAGGGCTAAATTCGTGGTCTCCCTCCACCCCTACAGCCACACCCATGCTCCATCTACGTCACGAATCATGCATCAGTTCTGAGTGCACTCAGTGCTATTATCTGGCTTCACCTGCTTCTCGGTTTTGTCTAGTCTCAGGCGACCAGGTTCCCAGGTCCCTGGCTCAGCCTTGTTTCTGCCCCTCTTGGCCATACATCTCACACCCTGTGTTTGTCTCCTCAGGGTCTCCCATATGGCCCTTTTGGGCTGAAAGTCTTTTTTAAGAGTTCCTTTCCCTGACTTCCAGCGCTCTGGGTACCACTCCTGCTGGGACTATAAATCATGCCTCTCCAAGGCTAGGGCTCCCAGTTCCAGTGGCAGCTTTCATAGATTCATAGATGTAGGGTTGGAAGGGACCTTGTAGATCTTCTAGTCCGACCCCCTGCCGTGGGCAGGAGAAAAAACTGCCATCCCCTACTGTCAAATTTCCAGACCCACGGGGAGCCCCCCAGGCAGGATAATGTTGCCCTATGCACTAGATCCAAGCATGCACAGCTGAGCCAGCACACTGGATCATGCTCACCTGCATGGGGTCTGGCCCACAGATTGACCTTGTGCCACTGATCTAGCCCACAGGGCCAGAAGGTTAGGTGCTACTGCTTTAATCCACTCCCTCTTTTAGTACAGGGGATCTACTGATAATAATCCAAGCTGATACAAAGGAAAGAGTATGCTCCCTAAAATAATTAAAAAGAGAATCATACTCTAGAGATGGATAGTGATTTCAGCCCTAAAATACCGTAAAACTGAAATTGTGATGTATTGCCCAGTAAAGGCTAATTTTGCTTTCACCAATTTCTTTCAGGCAAGGAAATAAAAATTCTTACCTTTTTTGTTTGCCCATTTTCGATATACTCAACCCCTACAGCTTTGGTCCCTTGAAACAAAATTTTCGTTACAAGGGTTCTGTCTTTGGCTGACAAGTTTGGGCGTGATATGGCGGGGTGAAGGTAAGCGCTAGCTGCACTCCATCTTTGACCTACAAAATATAGGTTTTCATTAATATTTTCTAGCATCAAAATAGTCTGTGTTCATTCACCCTCAAGACTTTTCCTTGCCTTTGTTCCCCTATTACAGTTAAAAGTGGAAGTTCTCTTATTTAAAGACCAAAGGAAAACATTTAAATTTGAGAACTAAAAGAACAAAGGTAAACAGATTGTTTACTAGCACTGTGAAAGCCTTTTCTTCAGACATGTATTGGCACTTGAAACTTAGATCCAATTTCCAGTGAAGACAATGAGAAGACACCCATCAAATTCAACAGGATCAGAACCTTACAATCTTCTTAGGGCTTGTCTACACAGTACACCTACTGAAAATAGGTTAGGGTGTAAATTTAAATATAATAGCTATTTATTTAAATAAACAAACCACAAACAGTTTTCAGTGATGAATAAATGTGTTCTAACCAGCAGCTAATGCAGAATAACTATTCTATGGTAGCTATTCCAGGTTATTTCCTCCCCTAATACAAGCAAGTCTTATAAAATGTCAGTATTTAGGAGCATAGTACACATTCCCTGGTATTTTCTCACATACCACATGCCCCCAAATAAGGCAGCACATTGGTCTGGGAAAGGAGAAGGAAGAAAAAATGACTTTTTCAGAATTATGGTCATATCCTCCCTTTCCTGCTCAGGCAAAAGTGACAGTTTTAACTCTTTCATGGGTGAATTGTTAGCAGCTCTTTGCTGTTCAACTGAAAAGCTGAAACCGTAGCTGATGCTGAAGACTGGACTCCAAAGTTGTATCCAGGATTTTGAAAAGAGCTAAAAACAGTCTGCAGGACTGTGAAATAGGAGAGAGAGCCCAGGAATAGCTAACAGACGGCAAAATGCTGAAGAAAGGATAGCTTGAATAGTGGAATTAAGACCATTAAAAAGGAGAGAGGGTTGTTAACATCTGCATAGTGAAGAACAAAGAGCAGGAATTTGGTAGATTATAAAGCCATGAAGTGAAGTGACTCCGTCAGGACTGCCTAAATATAAATGCCCCTGCTGCTGCTAGGAAGCTGATTTTAAAATCTGTGTGGGGCAAGCAGGGTGCAATTGTACCCCTGGACCCACCCTGGATCTGCCCCGATGGACTCCATCCCTCCCTCCGTGCAGCTGCTGTGGGAAGAAAAAAAGAAGTATTAGTCATCTGATAGCTTCATGCTTCTCTTCAGGGCAGAAAATCAGTTTTCCCACTTAAAACACCTACCCCAATTTTGGCTGCCTAATTCTGGGGAAGTGTGTGTGTGTGTGTGTGTGTGTGTGTGTGTGTGCGCGTGTGCGTGCGCGCATGTATCCATGTAACTCAAAATAGTTTACCTTTGTGTATAGTCATATCCATCCAGCCAAATCCTTCTTGTTGGTAACCATTCATATCATCTGTGAAAGGATACCCAGCTTCCTGGGCTGCATCTAGGAATGCTTGATGAAGCGGGTGATTCGTTCTTCCTCTTGACACATGCAGTTTTCCACTCCCACCTCTGTACTGGTTAGGACCTAGTTCATGTGCCTGTGCTTTCTTAAAATAAGGCAAGCAATGTTCATAATCCCATCCCACAGCACCTTCTCTTTCCCATCGATTGTAGTCTTCTGCATGGCCACGGATGTATACCATTGCATTGAGAGATGAAGAGCCACCCCACACTCTACCCCTTGGCCAATACATAATTCGATTATCCATGTGCTTTTGCAGTGTTGTATGGTAATACCAGTTATATTTATCATCACAAAGATTATAGATTAATGCAGCAGGCATGTGAATCTTCCACATTAATCTTTTACTACCTAGAAGGGTATCTTTAGGGCCTGCTTCCAAAAGGAGTACAGTACTGAGAGGATCTTCAGTCAACCGGTTGGCTAATACACAACCTGCTGATCCAGCTCCAACAATGATGTAACTAAAAGAGCCAGTATTGTCAGAAGTAAGTTTAGAAAATGTGTGTGAGAGTTTCATGTGGCCTAGCAAGTTTTTCAATATGTGTGTTTTAAATATAAATCCTGTTACTCTGTGAATTTGACTGACAGAAAGTCTAGAACACTTTTTAACTCCTTTGAATAAATGAGACATCTTTCCTTATGTATCTTCTCTTTTTTTCAGAATGTCTTGTCCCTTAAAACATAGAATGAAAGATTTTCCCCTAGAACAAAAAAAGATATCCTAATTAAAATGTATAATAATATTTCGAGTTATATCATAGTGGACTATTACAGCACGTGGTTTAAAATCCTGATGTGTCATTTTGCAGGTAAAGCTGGAAATCCACATCTGTCTCCAAGGCTATCTAATAGGACTAGCTGTCATTCCAACATAATAATATAATGCTCACTTGTTTATGCTCTTTTAGACATGCAGTTAAATGCCATTTGAGTGGCATAGAGTTTTATAGATTTTACAGTTCCATTATTCAACATGCCTGTCTATTTATAATGCATTTTAAAAGATGCAAGCACTTTGCATATAAAGGGAAAGTAAGATAAAGTGATGTCAAAGGTTGCACAGTAAGTTAGAAACTAAGACCAAAAAAATAGTACAACTAGAGCTCTAGAACTAAAGCATCACATTTACAAGGTGTTCTCCAGAAAAAATAAGGTTTGGAAATGGCACTGATGCAGAAGTGCTGCATAGCACCTGTACAAACTATATTTATAGCTGGGTTTCCACAGCCCGGATGTGTATCCAGAATATCAGGCCCTGGCCTATTCTAGGCTGTGTTTCCATCTGTTGCTCTAGTTGACAGAACTGGATCTCCCTGAGCATTGAGTACCCTGCCCATTACACTATATCTAGTCAGTCATTCTTGGGCCCATTGAAAACGTTTATTGTTGAGGTGAGGAGTCACTAGCAGCCAGTCATCTTTAGAAAGTGCAAAACAGGGCAGAGCAACAACTAAGGATCTTTGAGGAAATAAGTCATATTAAGCTAATCACATTCGTCTAATCGTAAATTGTTACTGAAAAACCTAGGGGCTTTCATCCTGAAAGGAAGTGAAAGACAAAACTCCTTTCCATACATCAAAGTTTTACTTTTGGCCAATACAAAAATCTCTGGATTCTTTCTGTCAGAACAAAATCCATCAGTAAGTATTGCTCCTGGAATCAAGATACTTCTTGGTGAAAGATGGAGCAGAACTATATTCATTTTACAGAGGAATCTGCACGCATGGGTGGATCCAGGATTCTGAAAAGGGAGGTGCAGATGGTGTGCTGTATCACCTCATATAACAGAAAACATTTTTTCCAGGCAAAATGAAACTAGAAGCTTTAGTAAATATACTAGAAGGCTAGGATTTAAGAATGAAGGAAACACAAATATAACTTTATTAGAATGAGTTAAAAGCAGCCTGCTAGGCTATGAAATAGGAATGACATTAACAGAAGCAGCTAACAGATAGCAGAACTGCAGAAGAAAGGCTAGCTTGATTAGTGGAACATCACAACGATTAAAAAGGAGAGGGACGTTAACACCTGAGGCTTGAAGAGTTTAGAAGGAATCAGGTAGTTTTGAATGTCAATTGACTTGCTTGCTTATGCCTGAACAGAAATGCTGCTGCCACTGCCAGGCAGTTGATTTTAAACTTTGGGTATCAAACAGGGGTGGAAGTGCACCAGTGCTTCGCCTCCGCCCCAGATTTGCCCATGCCTGAGCAGCATTTTAGGAAAGAAGGTTAAATAATAGGGGTAGGCTCCAATATAAATGTCACAGCTAAGCAGAGCTTAACAAATGTCACAATATTGGTTTAGCAGAGATTAAATTTCAACACTCTTTTCATGTTCTTCCTCATCCTGTCTGTGCTACATCAGGGAAATCCTTTGGTTTTGCATACTAGCACTGGAAACTGTTGAATGAGGGATACAAACCCTGTTGGGAATACTGAGAGGAAATGGACCATGACCCCAGAAAGGTTATGAGTGTTAACAGCCAGCGAGGCCATGTCAGGGGATCTGAATGACTCACCTCCCCCTCCCTCCCTCGACCTGGCACAGGCACAGCCTGGTTGCCTCACTTCAGTCTGCCTTTGTTACACATTGATTTCAGGTGGCTCTGAGCACTTTTAACCCCTGGACTGTCCATACTTTAACACCAGGAACTAGTTTTGGGCACACTTTAGGCCGCCACTTTAAAATACCGCCACTCCAGGACAGGTTCCTCTGCCATCCTTGTAACCCAGTTCCTGTTCCATTAACTGTGACCGCTCCCCACAGAGGAGTCACCCAAGTCCTACAGCATCCCAGGATGCAATGTCCCCTCCCCTGTCCTTTTCTGCATGGACAAACTTTCTCCCTCTCAAACGCTAAGGCCCAGGAAGGGGGAGGTTGGGGGGGCGGTTCTTGCCCTGAGCCAACTCCTCCTCCCGCCCTGGGGTGTGACCTTCCTGCCCCCACAGCTACACGCAGCCCCTCTCACACCCCGTCCCGGCGCCCAGCCCTATGGGGCAACTCATAGGGGCAGCTCCTGCCCGGCCCCTGCTCACGGCCCTCTAGGGGCAAGCGGCCGCGGTGCGGCGGGGCAGTCCTGGAGGGGCATCGCCATGCCGTGCCATGGTCTAGTGTTGCCAGGTGTACAATAATTACTGCATTTATACAATCAAAGGCGACTGGTAGAGGGTGCACGGGGGTGCAGTGCCTCCTGATGGCCAACCCTGATGCTGTTGGCAGGGCTGGTGCCCCCTGACCGGGCCTCTGCGGGTGCCCCCCGACTGAGGAGGCACCGGTCCCTCGTGCGTACGATCATGTCGACCGTTGCACAACGTACGATCAACACTGGTTAGTTACAGTGTTCAATCCAAATGCACTCATTTTCGAGGCAGCGATTTAGTGCAGCATGTGCAAAACCCAGGTCTTTCTCAGGGCAACTTTTGGGTTTGCTGTCGGCGCTTTCTTCCGGCTCCTCGCCTCCAAACAGAGAGACGCTTCCACTTTGAGGGCCCGCGTCTCACTCACAGCGAGCAATAAAAAGTGAAGAAAAGACTTATTTGCACTGTTCAGTGCGCGGTCCTTTCCCCGCAAACACGATCGTTTTGCCCCGCCAGTGCCACAATCCCCTGCTGA